GTAAGGAGATGTACGTGAAATTCATTGTGATAGTTCAAAATTTTCATCCATTTCCATCTTTTATTTCTCCAGCTCCCTAGATCCTCCATATACATGACTGTTTAAGACAAGAGAAAGCTAGTGATTGGAAACTTACTTGTCAGCCACAGCCTTTGCCACTTTAGACTCTTTGAGGTAGTGATCAAGAGTTCAGAATTACACCTGCATTCATATCTCAGCAGTAACACTTTCTGGATAGTTTGATATAAGGCAACTAGCTTAACCTGACATCAGGGGTTTTGGTTTTTTGCTTTTGAGGGATGAGGGTGCCACACCCTGTGTTTCTCAGGGGTTACTCCTGGTTCTACATTCATGAATCATTCCTGACGGGCTTGGGAGACCATGTGGGATGCTAGGGACTGAACCAGGTCAGCAGTGTGCAAGGCAGACATCCTACCCACTGTACTGTTACTCCAGCCTTGACCTCAGGTTTTTATTTGTGTCATAAAATAGAAACGATAATAGTGCCATCTATTGGAGTTTTTTTTTTTTCCCCCTTTATTTTATTTTATTTTTTTTTAAAGTTGTAGATTTACAATTTTTTGTGCTTTGGTTTCAATTATACAATGATCAGATACCCATCCCTCCACCAGTGCCCATTTTCCACCACCATGGATAATATCCCTCCCACCCCCATCCCCCCATTAAGAAATGGTGGTTAAAAGTAATGCATGAAGTCTAATGCTTAAGTGTTCATTCAGTAAATGTTCTAGAGCTTAAAAGATTTCCTCTCATGCTGAAATTGGGAAAAAAAAATTTGAGAGGCAAATTTTAGTTCAGCATGCAGAAGAAATGCTGTTCCGGAATATGTTCAAGCAAAGACTGAGCAAATACCACATACCGGAAATGCACATGAAAACTATTATTTATATGCTTAATGTTACAGAATTTAAAAACAAAGATATTGAACTGTAAAATATCTTAATGTAACATGTTTTTATTGACTTTAGTTATATAGATTAAATTGTGAGAAAATATTCTAAGGATACTGGTGATATAAAAATAATGTCACTTTGATATTACTAGAATTACATGTGACTCACAAGAGACTTTGGTTTTCTATTCATAAAGGGAAGCAAATAGCAGATAATTAGCACCTTGAGAAAAATTTAGATTTTAAGAATACAATGAAAAAGGATACTTAAAATAATCACAAATGTTAAGTCCCACATAAAATGATTTGAGGAAGGGAACTCCAGAGCAGTGCTCAAGAGACCATTCAGAGGCAGGCCTTTTAGAAAGGTTCTTCCGCCCTTTTAGCTAGCTATCTCGTCTCCAAATAAAATAATTTTCAATGAATCTTGATTTTTTTTTCTCTATGATTTGTTAGCCTCCTAGAAACAAATTGAAACAACAGCTTAAAACACTATACTAGACTTTTTTTTTAATTTTGTATTTATTTATTTTTAAATTTTTATTAGTGCAACACCATGAGGTACAGTTGTAGACTTACAGATTTTTGTGCTTGGGTTTCAGTTATACAATGATCGAGTACCCATCCCTCCACCAGTGCCCATTGTCCACCACCACGAATCCCAGTATCCCTCCCCCCCCACCCCCCCATCCCACCCTGCCTCTGTGGCAAGGCACTCCCTTTTGTTCTCTCTCTCCTTTTGGGTGCTGTGGTTTGCAAAAGAGGAATTGAGTGGCAATCGTGTTCGGTCTTTAGTTTACTTTCAGCGTGCATCTTCCTTGAATCTGGAAAAAACCTGATAATTCATTGAATTATCAGTGCCCGAGAACAGATGACTGGTTAAAGAAACTTTTTTTTTAAAGGCACTATTACTTGAGCGCAAAACACTTGTTCTCTCTGTGTCATCATTTCTCCATCCTATTATAGGAGTGCGTAGAAATTTTGACAAGGGTGTTCATTTATTTTGAAAACTTTCAAAAGAGAAGAATATCTCCCCCCTCCAAACAATGAAAATATCCAAGATCACATGCTCCTCGTCTCTTTCTATTGAAGTATTTCTTTTTGGTATTTTGTTGTTTATATGGAAAAAAAAAAGTTAATGTAGAAGAGATTCAAAAAGAGATTTAAAAACTTTCCTTTTCCCTAAAGATAAATATATTTAAATGCTTAAAAAAAAGCACTATTATTGATAGATAAGAAAAATAAAATAGCTAAAATATTACTTTCAGAGTTTTGTTTTGCTTTTTTGCAGAGTCGAGAAGGTTGGGCCACATCCCTGACATTGCTTAGTGCTTAGTCCTGGCCCTACTCATATGCACTGATGGAGATTAAACTGGTGTCAGCAGCTTGGATGGGACTCTCAGCCCAAGTTTTAGTTCTTTCTTTCACATTAGTTCAGAATTATACAAATAAAATTACTTTGTAGAGTTGCAGCATAGTATAGTGAAAAAGAAAATTAGCACCCTTTTTTTTAGAGGTAGCTAGCATACATTTGTTCCTGCTTATTTGCCTGCTTTGTAACTTTTGACAGTTCATTTAACATTAGGAAATTTAGATCTGTAGATCAAGGAATGAAATCTTGTTTTGTCTACTACACATAGATGTTATAATTAAATGACCTAGTTTCTTTACAAGAATTTTATAAACTGTTATCCAAATTGCAATTGTTATTTGAGACATGAAATTAGCCATCCATCTAAGCCAATGTAAGTATTACTTATTTTATGTTTAAGAAGATTGAGAACTAACTTTAAAATAACCAAAGAGGGGTTGGAGCAATAGCACGGCGGGTAGGGCATTTGCCTTGCACGCGGCCGACCCGGGTTCGATTCCCAGCATCCCATATGGTCCCCTGAGCACTGCCAGGAGTAATTCCTGAGTGCAGAGCCAGAAGCAACCCCTGTGCATCGCAAGTGTGACCCAAAAAGCCAAAAAAAAAAAAAAAAACCCAAAGAGCCAGGGATATAACTCAGTAGTAGAGCACTTGCCTTGCAAGTGTGTGGCCCTGGGTTCAATTCCTAGCACCACAAAAATAAATACTTTTCTTAAAAGAAGGGAAGGAAAGAAAGAAACAGCCAAACACTTGGGGACAAGGAAAGTGGAGACTGATGACATTTCTTCACCATCTCCTGTTTTGCTTCTATAACTCTTTTGAAATGGTAGCACTGTAGCACTGTCCTCCCATTGTTCATCGATTTGCTTGACCGGGCACCAGTAACGTCTCCATTGTGAGACTTGTTGTTACTGTTTTTGGCATATCGAATACGCCACAGGGAGCTTGCCAGGCTCTGCCATATGGGCAGGATAGTAGACAGAACCAATCCCTTTGGAATCCTTTTACTTCAAGAATTTGCCATAACTAAAAATCTTGTAAGAGAACATTTAAAAGGTTCATTTTCTAACGCCCTCCCCATCAATTCATTAATAGTCTTTTTCCGTCTACATTTGGCATCCAGACAGCAGCAAACATGGAATATTTTACTTCCAAATAAGTTATATTCTACTTAAAATTATATTTAGCTGCTTAGACTGATACTTTATCAGACCAAATAAAAATACTTTTAATGCTATCAAGGAAAAATAAAGCCTGCTTTCATATTCTCACATAGATTCATCTTTTTACCATACCCTGTCCATCTTCATTGCTCTACACACAAACTCTACTTTTGCCAGATCATCCAAAAGTGGGCCACAGCCATCAGAATAATGCTATTTGGGTGTCAGAGAAATAGAACAGTGAATAAGGTACCTGTCTCCAATGCAGCCAAATCAGTGTTCAATCCCCAGCACCTCATTTGGTTCTCTCAATCCCCGCCATGAGTGATCCCTAAGTACAGAGCCAGGAGTAAGACCTGAGCACTGCGGAAGATAGCCACCCAAAATACTAAACAAAACAGATGTGATATTTTTATGATATTTGTCTGTGAATGAAATGTAACATTACAATGTAATTATATGTAATTGGTCAACTGTTTTTATTTTTTATAATTTTAGATATGCTATATTAACTGCTTATTGTTGAATAAATTGCCACTCTTGAGTAAACAAAATTAAAATACTGGGCCGGAGAGGTAGTACAGCCAGTAAGGTGCTTGCCTTGTATGTGACTGACCCAGATTTGATTCCTAGCACCCTATAGAGTTCTGTAAGTCTGCTAGTAGTGATCCCTGAGTAATCCCTGAACACAACTCAGTGTGGCCCCAAACCCAAAAAAGTTAAAATATTAGACCAGAGATAGTACTTGATAAGGCACTTGTCTTGTATGTACCTCACCCTGATTTGATTCTGGCACCAATATGAACTCTAAGGGCAGCCAGGAGTAATCCCTGAGCACAGAGTCAGGAATAAGTTGTGAGCATCGCCAGGTGTAGCCCAAAAGCCAAAATCAAAGAAGGTTAAAATATTACTTATTTTTCTTTCTTTGTTCTTGCATAACAGACTGAGATAGTCAAGTTTTATATTTTAAGATAGTTTGGATAAAAGAAGAACTCATTATTAAATTTAACTAATTTATTTTTGTTCTTTGTGTCAGACCTGGTGATGCTCAGGGTTTAATCCTCACGCTGCACTGAGGAATAACTCCTGGGGGGCTCAGAGAACCATATGGGATGCTGGGGATCATGAGATTTAACTCAGATTGGTTGTGTGCAAGGCAAGCACCTTACTTGCTGTACTATTTCTTTAGCTTCTGAACTTAATATTTTATTTTATTTATGGTGGGGTTTTCATTTTGTTTTGTTTTTGTTTGTTTTTTAGGCCACATCCAGAGTTGCTCAGGAGTTATTCCCGACTCTGCACTTAGGAGTTACTCCTGTCAGTGTTTGGGAGACCATAAGGAATGGCAGGGATTGAACCCTTGTCACATGCAAGACTAGTGCCCTACCCACTATACTACCACTCTGGCCTCTGAACTCAGTATTTTAAATGGAACATCTGTTAGAACTTGAATCTGTCCCTGGTTAATTTGATTAATTGTTAATCTTGTAATCACTTAACCTAGTTATGACTACAACAACATCAGCTATTTGTTTCCTTTTTTGTTTTCCAGGAGACTTTGATGATTTTACTCAAGATAATAATGATATTATGTTGAAAAGCATAGCAGAAGATCTTCGAAATTGCTTACCTCTAGAAACCATGCTTTCTTCAGAACATCTAGCACTACAAAAAGTAAAAACATTAAATTTACTCTTGATGCTATTTACGGAGTTTTTTGTTCTTCCATAACCCTCCAACCATCCCATTCTAATTAATCCTAGCTCTTTAAGTCTTTTGCTATTTGTGTTCCAGCCTTGTCCTTAATTCTTTTGAGTCTGCTGCCTTCTGCCCGCACAGAACTATTCATACAACAAATATTTTTGAGGGTGTCCTATTTGCCAAGCACTCAAAAACCAATTAATTCCCAACAATAATACAGTCCTTCCTGCATCATGTCCTATTTTCTTCCTTATTCCACTATCACCCTTTTGTTTCTCTCATACTTTTGCAATGTATCTTTTCTTTTTTTTTTGGTTTTTGGGTCACACCCTGCGATGCATAGGGGCTACTCCTGGCTCATGCACTCAAGAATTACTCCTGGCAGTGGTGCTCAGGGGACCATATGGGATGCTGGGAATTAAACCCGGGTCGGCTCCCTGCAAGGCAAACGGCAAACGGCAAACGCAAAACGCAAACACCCTACCTGCTGTGTGGTTGCTCCAGCCCCCGCAATGTATCATTTTTGCTTGCTCTTTTTTTTATTCCAAGAATTAGTTCTTTTTTTTAATTGTTTTATTAAAGCACTGTGACTAAGAATTAGTTCTTTTCTTCTCCAGACAACCCCTTCATACAAATCCCTCAAATTCTAGCTCTTTTGGGACACATATGCTATGAATATTACTTACTAAAGTTAATAATAACATTTTCTTCCTTTCCCAGTAATTAGAAAACAGTAACCCTCCATGTGGTTTTTCAGCCTATTATAAACTACTAAGCACAGGAAGTAATGTTGTACATTTTAAGTAATTTTGTACATCTTAATGATACATTGTGAACACTTAGCAAATCTTTGTAAACATCCAGTTGGAGTGGATTCCCCAACTAGGAAAACAGTAGTTAAAAGTTTAGATAAATATTTGTTATACGCTTGGTTATTATTGATGAAATTGTCTTTTTAGTATCAAGATATCCCTAATATATAAAATGAGAAGTTATTCATTATATACTATAATAGCCCATACCCTATTCTAACAAACTTTAATCTTCCTCAGTTTCTTTTTCATCTTGTGGATAATCTGTACTTAAATTTTATATACATAAGAGATTTGTGTATGTGGAGTTACATTAAAATATTTAGGTTTCCGGTGAACAATTTGCAACGAACAATTTTTTGCTCAATTTTGAGCCCTCAAAACAGTGCTCACATGCTGAAAACAGACTATAGACCAACCATGATTGCCACTCAATGCCTCTTTTGCAAACCACAACACCCAAAAGGAGAGAGAGAACAGAGGGGAATGCCCTGCCACAGAGGCGGGTGGGTTGGGGGGAATGGGGGGTGGGAGTGATACTGGGATCCGTGGTGGTGGGAAATGGGCACTGGTGGAGGGATGGGTATTTGATCATTGTATAATTGAAACACAAGCACAAAATTTGTAAGTCTACAACTGTACCTCATGGTGTCTCACTAATAAAAAAAATAAAAATAAATAAATAAATAAACAGTGCTCAGGATTTACTGCTCGCTCAGTATTGAATGGTTACTCTTGGCAGTAATTAGGTAACCAGACAGAGTGTCAGGGTCAAACTCTGGCTTTCTGCATACAGAACATGTGATTCAGCCCCCAAGTGATAGTTTGATTCTTTAAGACACTTATAGTAGAAGGAATCTGACCTTTTTTTTAATAGACACTTGATAATATGTCATGAACCAAGACTATTAATAAAGAGCAACTGTACATAAACACGAAGTTTTACTAGCATTTTTATTATTTGAAAACTTTGCCTCTGGGCAAAAATTGCTTAGTGTTTGGATGGACACATCACTGACATATAGGACACAGAAGATGTATTATTAATTTCAATTTTCCCCTTTTACTCCAATGTGTCTTTTCTTGGGAGAAAATATCTGTGGTTGAATTTTTTATAAAATATATTAAGGATGGACCTCTACATGTTCAAAATCTGCCTTTCAGCCAAGCACTGAACCGTAACACCCACACCATCAAGCCAAGCATCACCAGGAAAGGCTCCCCCAGAGCTGCCCCACTCCAACTTGGCACAGCTGTCGGTAGTCCTTTCTTTTCTTTAAGTTGCTAGCATCTCAGAAATAAAATGAAAGAGCAAAATTGCTGACTTAATAGGCAAAACTTCTTCTAATGCCTTGTTGCTCTTATTTTAGCATGAGAACCACTGATGTTTTGCCTTATTTAGCAATAAAAAGAGACTTCTTTGTACTGTTTCTTTTGATGTTTTTCTTCTCTCCACCAGATACAACAGCAGCCAGAACCCACAGTTCACGTTGACGCATTCCTTTATGACGAGGACTTTATTGATTCATTATGTGAGGAAGGAAAAATGAGCAGAAACTACTGTAAGATGTGTGGTTCCCACCAGACAGCTCCTTTAGGTAGGCACTCAAATTCACAAACCTGATGAGTTTGTGTATATCCCTCTTTACTTACATATACATATTTTTAATCGAGTCAGTGTTATTTTACTGCAAAAAACAATCCTGCAGCATAGCTATTGCCAACTATTACAATTAGGGAGATTAAGTTGAATTATTGTCTAGGTCAGTGAAGCCAGTGAATAGCTTTCAGGGGCACATCTCCTTTTCATAAAAAATATTTAATCAGAGGTCACTTTGCAAGTTTGGAAATTAATCACAAATTGACAGAGTACAGAGAAACCGGCTTAAACTTTTCGTGCTCAATAATGATACAAAAATCATTAATGCTGATTTGTTGATAAGAAACATAACCGTTCAGGGGACTGAAATACCCTCCCTATAAAAATGAATTCTAGGAAATCAAATGGTATTTATGTTGTTGAACAAGCATGCATGTAGGTAATCTCTGATTTTATTCAGTCTTTGATTTGACTAAATGAAGCATCTGTAGTATAGAACGCAAAACAACTCTAGTACAGAAAATTTTCATCTCTGTTCCCATGCTCAGCACCACTATCCCAAATGGAACATTAGACTCCATTCTGCTAATATGTTCACCTGTCTCTCAGCATGTTTTCTGTTCAAACTGGTTATCATTGTCTATTACTTTAGAAATATTAATTTAAAAAACCATTGCAATCTCCCTGCTCATTTAGGTTTTGTTTAAGGCGAGCTATCCATTTATTTAATCCTGTGCTCATAATACTCATTTTGGATAATATGTGACAAAATTGACTGCCAAATTTGTAGAATATTGATAAAAATAAAGTGTACCTGTATTCTAATTGAGAATTAAAGTTCTCTGATTTACTGATTTTTTTTAAAAATTATATTTATATTTCTGTTGGGATCCTTGGTAGAGGGAGAATGATATACTGGTGATGGGTGTGATGTTATAATTATGTATATTGGAAACCATTGTTAACAGTATTGTAGATCACAGTACCTCATTCAATAAAAACAAAAAGAGAAGGAAATACAGAATTTATATTTAGATGGTACTTACCATCTTTATTTGAGGTACCTAGAATTCACAAAATAGGCAGAGACAAGAGTAGTACAGGGGAGACTTAAGAGTTCGTTGTAATTAGAGTACCATATCAGGCCTGATTTTTAAAAATTTGTAGAAAAGCTTTGTTTGACAAAAATTGAGGAATAGGATGTATTTTCTCTTAAAAATCAGGTTGTGGATATTATCTGGCTAGCCAGACCAATTCAAGTAACAATAATAAACCTAGAACAGCTATGATTATGTGTTACTCTCCCCTTCCATATGAAATGGAACTTGTCTAGCTATAAGATCCTAATAAGGACTCTGTAAGCAGCTTCTACCCTCTGTAAGAGGGTAGAAAGGATGAGGATCCCTGGGAGGACAGTGGTGGTCGTCAAAGCCCAACACCCAAGAGTTAACTTCTGAAGTCTAGTGACCCCCTTTATTTTCTTTCAAGGGATTGTCCCACATGTTTTCATTTTCTTTGCTACTATAAATTGCAACCAAGTTTGTTTCCTTTCTGTTAAATAATTTCAGGGGACACAAATTTCTAAGTCTTTGGGCTGCTTCCATATAGAAAAAACACACTCACACTCTCTCAGGTGTTTTATCTCAGAAACTGGAGCCAGAATAAGGGCTGGAAATTAAACTCAAGGAAGTAAGAGAAATGTATTAGAGCATCAGAGCCCCTTTCCATGTCACTTCTCTTTCTGCCCTCCAGAGTCCATTGTGGTTGGCCAAAACAGCCAAGTAGACAGCTCCAGAGATGGTCATTTGTCTGGTAGTCTGCAGTCTGTACCACAGAGGTTGCATTGAGAGTAAGGTGAGAGAGCCACATGGCATGGGAGTTAGGAATAAAGAGGAAGGAGAAAACCACAGGCATCCCAAGCAGCATTGAGAGGAAATGAGGGGCCAAGGGATAGGGACAGGCATCTGGGAAGCTGTTCCCTAGAGGCATTGTTTATGCCAGAGACTGGTGTTTATCCTTTAATATAGCTTTGTGCGAAGGACTGCACAAACATCACATTGTTTTCTAAATAACCTCTGAATGGCTTAAGTGATTAAGAAAAGAAAGCGTGAAATATACATTATAAATATGGGTAAAGAATTAGCTCAGGACTGAGATTGTTACTGCTGAGCAAACTTTGATGATCCCTCTGTTATCATTCTCCAGGATTTATTTCTCATTCCTTCTCTCTCGTGGAATTGAAGTTCATTTATCATCATGTACTCCCAGATCTGTCAGGAAAGGTCTTGGTTGACGTTGGCTCCAGACTTGGCACAGTACTTTATGGGGTAAAGTCCATCTTGCGGGCATACTCACCATTTGGAAAATGCTTTCTTCTACTAACAATTTTTCCTGCCACCATCCAAGGTGACAACTTGCTTTTGATTATTAGAATAAAAGGATAAGAAGGTCAACATAGTATAGTATAGGCAAGCTTTTGAATCGTATGTGATGCTAATAGTTGAATATGAAATGTAAAGATCAGTTCTCTGATTTCCTTTACCAGTTTGTCTCTGCAACATGAATGAAGGAATGTCGACAGAACGGAATCAGGTGACCTTTACAGCACTTCAATATTTTGTCAATTATTAGTGCCCTTCATTTTAACTTTCATCTTCTGTGTACTCTCTGAAAATAGTGCACAGAACTTTGATAACACCTCAGAGAACTGACAGAGTAAACTTAATCTAGCATCACTGGATTTCCATTAGCAAGTCACTAAACACCTCTAGGCCTCGAGTTCCTCATCTGTAAATGAGCAATTGTTCCAGTTTTCTGTGATCCAAAGTTTGAATATACACAAGATCACTTCAGTGAGGCTTTTTTTTTCTTTGCTTTTTGGGTCACTCCTGACGATGCTCAGGGGACTATATAGGATGCTGGGATTCGAACCCGGGTTGGCCACGTGCAAGGCAAACGTCCTACTCGCTGTGCTATCACTCCAGCCCCGTGAGGCTTTTTTTTTTTTTTAAAAAAATAATGAGTATTTTTAATGTTCTTAGATGGTTTTATCAGAAAACTGAAATGTGGTTTCTGGTTGTCATTAGTAAACTAGTTAAAACATGTGGCTAACAGCAAAAGGATTTGTGCCAGGAGCAGGCACTATCAGTTCCCAGCATCATTGCTGGTCCTATGTAGAAGCAGTTAACTCTTTAATGCTTGATTTTTTTTTTTTAGTTTGAAAACTTTTATTTTGTAATTAGGAAAAATTGATACGATAGCATATCAGTTTGTCAATTTGTCAAATGGTTTTTATATAAAGAATATTAGAGAATAGATTATTTACTATATTTAGTCTATTGTTATTTTATATTTGTTTATAAAAAAGTATAAATCTAAAATAATAGTGGCTTTGTAAGTATATGGGGCAGTATTAATAAACTTATCGACATTAGGTCACTGAGTCAGTACTTTGGTTTTGGGGTGTGGAGTTGGGGTTGGTTTCGATTTGGGGGACACTCAGCTGTAATCAGGGCTTAATCTTGACTCTGCTCAGATACCACTCCTGGTGGGGCAGGGCATCAAACCCAGGTTGTCCACATATAAGGTAAGCCCTATTCCTGTCATACTGTCTGGCCCACTCATCAGTTTTTAATACCTATATTGTCTCTTTAAATATACTGTAGAGTTCCATAATGAGCTATTAATATAGATTTGGTTTCCAAAGAGGTATTTGTTGATATAAAATAAACTTCAGAATATGATTAGACCTGTTCTCCCAGGTTATTTTTGTTGTTGTTACTATACCCCAAAATAGAGCTGTAACAATATATAGTTCCTGATTATCCTTATTAAACTAATTGTCAGTTATCACACTGACTTCTGTAGCCTAAAAAATGAGTCCATCCAATGTACTTTTTTTTGGGGGGGGGGGCGCTTTTTGGGTCACACCCAGCGATGCACAGGGGTTACTCCTGACTTTGCACTCAGGAATCACTTCTGGCCATGCTCAGGGGACCATATGGGATGCTGGGAATCGAACCCGGGTTGGCCGCGTGCAAGACAAATGCCCTACCCACTGTGCTATCACTCCAGCCCCCCAGTGTACATTTGTAGTGTCAGACTATGCAAGATTTTTTTGTATTCCCCATAGGTTAACTACTTTCTAGCTTTACCGTGATGTAAGTTCCTAAGAAATTTGAGAAATAGACTTTTAAACTGAGAATTGTATGTGATTGCTTTTCTCATATCCACTTTTGTCAAAAAAATCAATTTTTAAGTATCATTTAAATAATGGAAATTAATAAATAGTAATCAGTATCTTGATTGGTTAGTTTTTAAGTTCTTTACATAAAGAAAAATAAAGGTCATTACATAAGGGCAGAGAGAGGACTAGAGCACATGCTTTGCATTTTCAAAGCCTGTATTCAGTCCCTAACACCATATGGTCTCCCCTTAATTGCCAGAAATAACCCCTGTGAATACAGAGCTTGGAGTAGCCTCAGAACACTGCTGGATATGGTCCAAAAGAAAGCAAAATCTTTACATTAACTATAAATGTTATGATTCATTTTATTTTACTTTTACAATTTTTTTAACTTCTTAAGTTTTAAGTTGAAACAAAGCCACTATTAAAAGTCAACTTATTTTTATTGTAATATATCTTCATGTTTTAGGGTTATTTTTACAGTTCAGCATTGCAACTATATGGAGTAGAATTGAATGGAGAGTTTTGCCATTTGCAGGAAATGATCATAAAAAAATACCAGTTTGCTGACAGAATAAAGGTACTATTTTCAATTTATGTTCAATTGTCCATTATATAGCATAACTTAAACCACATCTCTGCACTGAAGTTGAAAATAATCTTTTCACATATTATTGGTTCTTATTTTAAAAACAGATTGAATTGATTCAATAATTTTAAATATTAATAAAACAAATTATTAGCTATATTCCACTCTTATTTTTCTTTACCAGTTTTACTAGAGAATTGATTTTTGGGTGCTTTTTTGTTGATGTTGCTTGTTTTAATTAAACCATTGTGGAATACACAGTTACAAATTTATGATTGGGTTTCTGTCATACAATGTTCCATACATCCATCCCTTCACCAGTATACATTTCCCATCACAAGTGTCCCCAATTTCCCTCCTTCTACCCCCCATCACTAGTTCACAGTCTGCCTTTACGGCAGGCACTTTCCCCTCCTTCACCACCCCCTTCTTTTGAGCATTATGGTTTGCAGTACAGGTACAGTACGGAATTCAATTCTTGTCTAGAGTGATCATTTCCTAGAGAGTTGTTTTAAGCAAAAGTGTTAAGTACTGTAGTTCCCCCCTTATCCACCAGCAGTGAATGGATGATACTCTGTGAGTGGATTCCAGTACCTCCAGTGAATACCAGAAGTTGTGAATAGCAATTAATATACTTTTCTTTTTACAATAGAAACATCTCTGAGATAAGATTCAGTTCATAAATTAGGCATTGAAGAAATTAACAATAATTAATAATAGAACAGTTGTGACACTGTACTATAGCAAAATGAGTAAATGTGCATTTCTTTCAAAATAGTATACATAGTATTTTTGTACCTGTTGACTGTAGGATAACTGAAATTTTTGGGTAAAGGGAGACTGTTGATAAGCTTTCAGTTTTTTATCTCCGGTTTCTCAGCCTTCATGCCACAGAATAGTTCAAAGGGCAAATTCATTGTAAATTTCAAGTTTAAGGAGTAAATTCATTATAAATTTCATTGTAGCCTTGGGTCGGGCTACAATGGAAGTGTTTTTTTTTTTCTCTGCACAAGAGCAAAAATAGCAAATAGGCTAAAAGACTCTTTTTGTGGGCCCAACCAAGAGATAGTAAGATGCTTGCCTTGCAACTGATGAACCCAGGTTTCATGCCTGGGGCTATATATGGGCCCTATAGTACTGCTATGAGTGATCCCTGAACATTGCGATGTGACCCAATTTTCCCCTACCCAGGAAAAGAAGAATTTTTTTGTTGTTGTGCTCACTCAGGATCTTTAACTTCTGTTGACAATCCAAAGAAATATTGAGCATCTGACAATCTCTTATGTTAAGGACAATATAATGCTAAAGGACATACCTTTGTTTGGGGTGGGGGAACCATACTTTGTGTCTTTAGCAGCTGCTACTAGCTTTATGCTCAGAGCTTGCTCTTTCTGGTTTTCAAGGAACCATGCAGTTCTGGGGCTCAAACTTGGACCTCTTGCATGCAAAGCATGCTCTCAACTGTTGATCTCCAATATGCCTTCCTCTTTTTTTCAGAGAAGGAAATTTTTTCATTCATTCATTCATCCTTCCTGTGTCTCTGTCTTAGAAATAAGAAGGGATGGAAATGATAGTACAACTGATAGGGCATTTGCACATGGCCAACCCAGGTTTGATTCCCTAGAATCCCCATGGTTCCTGGAGTACAGCCAGGAGTAACTCCTAAGCATTGCAGAGTGTGATCAAAATAAAAGAAAGAAATAGAGGCAAATGATCAGACTGAATTTTCTGTCTAGTAATAAAAGTATATTGTTCTTGCATAATAAAAATCACATGACAATAATATTAATTTGACTGGAAATTAGGATTTAAAAAAAATAGGACCTCTTATTCATAGTTTATGAGTGAACTATAAAATCCATTTTGATTTTTGAAGATAATAAAGTAAATTAGAGATCATATTAGAACAAGAGAGGTAGTACAAAGGTTAAGGCATCAACCTCAACTGATTCTGATTCTGTCCCCTGCACCATATGGTCTCCCAAGCATCATCACTTGGGTGTATCCTTGGGAGCCACTGAGCACCACCAAATGTGGCCTTGAAGGTCCAGAGCACCTTCTGTGGAATCCCAAGAGCATCATATTAGGACTCATAGACTTAGTGGGCCAGGAATCTCCAGGAAGGTTCCAGGAAGCACTGCCTTGGTAGTTCTAAAGGTGAACAAAAAATATTTTTTCATATTAATATATGTAATTTCTTTTACAGAACATGTTTATATATTTTGGGAGTTTTTGAGGCTGCACTGAGGTGTGCTCGGGATTTCCTCTTGGCTCTTGAGCTCAGGGATCACTCATGTCAGTGTTCAGGGAACCATATGCAATTCTGGGATCAAACCAGGTTTGGCCATATGCAAAGCAAACTTCTTAAACCCTGTATTGTCTCTCCAGTCCAGAATCAACTTTCCTATTTTTCTTTTTGAGGAGGTTGTTGAGCACCCAGTGATGCTCAGAGTATACCCTTGGATCTGTGCTTAGGGATCACTCCTGGTTGACTCAAAGGACAATATGGGATGCCAGGGGATTGAACCCTGGTCGGCCAAGGCAAACACTCTGCCTGCTATACTCTCTCCAGCCCTAATTAAGAAAATTAATTTTTTTTTCTTTTTGGGTCACACCCAGCAATGCTCAGAGGTCACTCCTGGCTCTGCACTCAGGAGTTACTCCTGGCGGTGCTTAGAGGACCATATGGGATGTTGGGAATCGAATCCGGGTAAGCCACGTGCATGGCAAACACCCTACCCACTGTGCTATGGCTCCAGTCCCCCCAAAATTAACTTTCCTTATTCATTTTTTTTCTAACATTCAAACTTCCTAACCTTTTATGTCCTTTTTTTTTTTTTTTTTAATATTTTCATTCTTCTGGGCATAGACCTTCTTTCTTCTGTTTGTTTTTGGGGCCTCTGCATGGTTAGCATCTATTTGTCCAGAAGTATTCCTTGACCTTCCCTGGATCTGCAGAGCAGATCTGTTATTTGCCATATGTATCTGATTCTTTTTATCCTGATAGGTGGGAGGAAAGGAGGGCATTTAAGCAGAGATGGGGAATTAAGGGAAATCAGAGCTATGGTGTTTTAGTAGATTACATACTTCATGTCTAAGTAATATATTTAGAAAGTTTGGTAACTATTTTCTGTGTTCAGGAACAGGTTAAAGCTCTGTTCCAGAAATCCCAGGCCAACTTAATATAAAGTATTTTAGTAGTTGTGTTACTTAAAAGATAACTGTACGTAACAACATTCTGAGTGAGTGTGTGTGTATATATATATATATATATATATATATATATATATATATATTTGTAAGACCAGTGCCTACTTGGGAAGAAGTTATATAATACAAAATAGTGTGGGGGGTTGAGGGGGGATACTGGTGCTAGGAAATGTACATTGGTGGAGGGATGGGTATTGGAAGACTGTATGACTGAAATTCAATCATGAAAAACTTTGTAATTCTCTAAAAAACTTTTTTTAATTAAAAAAATAGGTTAAAACTTTTTTTAGCTAAATCATTTAATTCTCTCTCTTTTTTGCAAGAAGGTTGGTATATTTGGGGGCATGGGAGGAGGGTGTTGTTTTGGGTTTGGGGACATAAGACTTGTTGATGATTGGGGACTGGAGATATTGTACAATGGTAGAGAAATTCTCTTCCATACTACCAAACTGGGTTTGATACCCAGCACCCCATGTTGTCCCTTGAACCCTGCTAAGAGTGATACCTGAGAGCAGAACGAGAAGTAAGCCCTGAACACCACTGGATGTGGCCCCAAAATAAACAACAACAACAAAAACTTAATGGTTATAGTCTAAAGTTTTCAAGGTACATAGTTTTCAAATAAATTGGCCTATTTTCATTTTTGGTTAAATAATATGTTTTAGTGAATTTTAGATGAAGATTGAGCAAGGCCAGTTAATATATCTTGTAGTTTATAAATTATTTTATAAATTTAATTTGATCTTCAGTTGGCGAGAAAGTACACCAGGTAGAGAGATTGCCTTGCATGCAGCTGACCCGAGTTCAATCCCTGGCACCCCAGTTGGTCCCCCAAGCCTGCCAAGAGTGATACCCGAGCTGAGAGCTAGGAGTAAGCAAGCCCTGAGCACTGCTGTATGTAGGGCAAAAAGCAAATTTTTTTTTAAATTTGATTCTGTGCATCAGAATAGATATTATCTCCTTTTATGAGAATACTGTCTACCTCTGTGTTTAAAAGTGTACAGATCTAATTGATGCTAAGCCAAAAATTGAACCTAACCTTTGACTTGTCTTTGACTTGTAATATGGTTAAAACAGAAAAAGCTCTGCTTTTGCCTTTCACATGGCCAATCTGGATTTGGTTCTCAGCAATACTGTATGGTCCCTCTAGCCTGCCAGGAGCAATTCCTGAGTGCAGAGCCAGTAGTAACTAACCCCTGAGCATGCCAGGTGTAGCCCGAAAGTCAAAAATAAGTAAGTAAAAGCTCAACTCAGAGTCAGAAAAGCTATGACTATGTAAATCCATCTAAAACAAATAAACAAATTTTAGTAAGTTTACATTTTTTGTAATTTTTTGTAATTTACATTTATGTATTGAGTATCTCCCATAGTACTAAGTATACTGTATTCTCCCATCTTTCAAGGGGTTGACCTCTCATTGGCTCACAGCATCATTGAGCCAATAAACATTTTAATGTCATTGCATGATGTAATGGTGCTTTTGTTTTTTTTTTTTTATGAACTCTTCCCTCTTCAGGTGATTCATGCAGACATCTGTACCCAGAGTTTACTTCTGCAAAATGCAGATGTTATTATAATGAATAATGTCTTTGAATATTTTCTTGATGAAGCAGAACAGGCCAGGTATGGTATTTATTGTTTTTTTCTCTTTTCTTCCGTTTTCAAGTTATTTATTAAGGTATATTTTAAAAGTCTGAAAAAGAATCGGTAAGATAGAGATGTTTTCACATTAAACTTTTTAAATGAATTAATCTTTTGTAAGATCATATTAATAAGGAAATGTGTTACATATAAAATATTTAGCCTTGTGAAATATATCTAGTTTAGGCAGATATAAATTAATACTATGGTTCAATATATCACTTCTCTGTAGATTTTTTTTTTTTTAGTGAAACACCATGAGGTACAGTTGTAGACTTACAAATTTTTGTGCTTGAGTTTCAGTTATACAATGATCGAGTACCCATCCCTCCACTAGTGCCGTTCTCCAACACCACTAATCCCAGTATCCCTCCCACCCACCCCCATCCCCCCATCCCACCTTGCCTCTGTGGCGGGCACTCCCTTTTGTTCTCTCTCCTTTTGGGTGCTGTGGTTTGCAAAAGAGAAATTGAGTAGTAAACCTTTATTTCTTTTTCTTTTCTGCCTGTTTTCTTTGAAAAGATGTCTTAAGTAGAGGGCTGGAGTGTTAGTACAGTGGGTAAAGCGCTTTCCCTTCCCACCTAGTAGACCCAGATTTGATCCCAGATATACTCTCTTGAGTTCTGCCAGAAGTAATTCGTGAATGCAGAGACGGGAGTAAGCTCTGAGCACAGCTGGGTGTGAACCAAAACCAAAAAAATTAATATAATGTCAGTTTTGTTAATACCCTTTCAGAAACAAAACAAATGTCAGTTTATAAGTTTGCCATGATCCTATTTCTATGGGCAGTCATTTTTGTTCATTTGAATTTCTAGGTATCACCTATATTGGTTTTTTCTTTTGTCGTTCTCATTTAAAATTGCCAATTCTAGTAAAACCTAACATCTTAATTTTTAATGTATTGCAGAGCCTGGGAAAACATCAGCCAAAATGTAAGGAAGAAAGGATCGCTGTTAGTGACAGTACCAAGCCTTCAAGATTCTCTGTCAGCTTATCAGGTATATAATGTTTCCCAGCATTTTGATTGCCAAAAGTCTTTAATTCCTTTTTCTGATAGCTGGTTTAATATTCAAGGATTGTTTTGCCTAGCTGTAGAGAAAGAAAAAATTAAAAACCTGTGGCTTAAGAACTGGTCTACAATTCATTCACAGTTCTCAAGAGCTCTAAAATAGTATTTCTTTTTTTGATATAGACTCATTGGCTTCTCTAATTTTTCTAATTGTGGGAGTACAATTTAGGTGAGCTAAGTATTTTAGAGGAATCTTAAAGGAGCTGGAGAGATAGTACAGTGGGGTGGCATCTCATGATTCCCTGAGAATCTCCAGGAGTGATTCTTGAGTACAGAGCCAGGAATCCCTGTAGCATTGCCAGATGTGGCCCAAAAACTTGAAAAAAAAGAAATTAAGAAATTTGGAATCTCTATATCAACACTTTCCCCCTTAAAACAAAAGAACAGAATTGTTCCAAAGCATTCAGAATTCAGTAAATTGGAAACTGTGTACTGTGCAGAGTTTAACTTCTAAATGCGTTTAGAATCTTGTACCAACCACTTGTTGCTCAGTTAGATTCTTTATGTATAATAGGTAAAGGTAAAGGCCCTCCCATTGTTCATCGATTTGCTCGAGCGGGCCCAGTAACGTCTCCATTGGAGACTTTGTTGTTACTGTGTTTGGCATATCGAATACATAACGGGGAGCTTGCCAGGCTCTGCCATGCGGGCGAGATACTCTTGGTAGCTTGCCGGGCTCTCTGAGAGGGGCGGAGGAATCGAACTCGGGTCGGCCATGTTGGCTGCGTGCAAGGCAAATGCCCTACCACTGTGCTATCGCTCTCTAGCCCCATTGGGTTGAATCTTATTGTTAAATATTGATCTTATTATGTATAATAAGATGTATAATAAGATGTTTTCACATTAAACTTTTTAAGTGAATTAATCTTTTGTAAGATTATATTAATAAGGAAATGTGTTACATATAAAATATTTAGCCTTGTGAAATATATCTAATTTAGGCAGATATAAATTAATACTATGGTTCAATATATCACTTCTCTGTAGTTTTTGTTTTTTGTTTTTTGTTTTTTGTTTTTTTTTTAGTGAAACACCATGAGGTACAGTTGTAGACTTACAAATTTTTGTGCTTGGGTTTCAGTTATACAATGATCGAGTACCCATCCCTCCACTAGTGCCCGTTCTCCAACACCACTAATCCCAGTATCCCTCCCACCCACCCCCATCCCCCCATCCCACCTTGCCTCTGTGGCGGGCACTCCCTTTTGTTCTCTCTCCTTTTGGGTGCTGTGGTTTGCAAAAGAGGAATTGAGTAGTAAACTTTTATTTCTTTTTCTTTTCTGCCTGTTTTCTTTGAAAAGATGTCTTAAGTAGAGGGTATATAATTAAGTATTATGTATAATAAGGTCAATATTTAACAATAAGATTCAACCCAATGGGGCTAGAGAGATTAGTCAGCAGGCTGTTTGATTTTCCTGAGTAACCCTCAGCATTGTTGGGTATGGCCCAGAAAAAGAAAAGATTGAACCCCCCCAAAAAAATTGTCCTTAATTAAAGATCATTTAATTTAGTAAATTTAATTTAACTTAGAGATCCCTGAATGAGATACTATTATCATTTTCTATAGTAATACTTTCCTTGCATAAAAGAGTTGCCTGAAAGTATTTCTTCCTTTGTATAACTAAACAGTAATCAATAATACATTCTTAAAATATTTTATCTCAGTCATCTCTAACAGAAAAATAATTCATGTTTGTTATAATGAGAAGTAGCACAGAAACTTTTTTTTCTCCCCAGTTTCAGCCACTTAATTGCCCCTCTGTAAGACCCCTTTGGTAATGTGTTTGCCATATTGTCCGTATTCATGCAACTATATATTTTTTTAAATGTTATTTAAATTTTTAATATTTTTAAATAATATGATTTTCACTAAGTAAAATAATAGTTTCACACTAAATTCGTTAAGTCTATTTAGACTGCCATTAGAAATTAAGAATTATGATCTAGACCGCATATGGTTTATTAAACAACTTTTATTGTTTTTTAAGGCAGTGTCTTTAAACTGATATATCCATTGGTGACTCTAGAATTCCTGTGATGTGGAGACTCATATTTGCATTAGAAGGGCCTAATGAAAGTTCTGGGGAGAGAACATTCTCTCAGTGACACCTCTCAGAACCTCTCTCAAGTGACCCATTACTAGTGTCACTGTAACGGAACAGTTTTTCTATTCTCTGTGATTTCCATTATTGTTTTTGATTTTCATTCTTTAAACCTAAGGACTATTACTAGACAGGTTATGTTACATAAGTAATTATATTAGAGGCCAGAGGAGTAGGACAGTAAGGCCTTGCACAGATCTGACCTGAACTCAATCCCCACCACTCCATATGGTCTCCCAAGTACGACAAGGAGTGATCCCTGAGTCAGGAGTAATACTGAGCATAGCTGGCAATGGCTAAAAAAAAACCAAAAGATTATACTCTGGACCAGAGGATAACTCACATGACCTCAGATCACTCACCCTGATGGACCTTGACACCAGGGGACCTGATCTGTTCCACCTTCTTAGGCTCTAGCACTTAAATGTGACCTGGTTGGCTGAGTATCTCCAGGAAGGGTTCTCTGATCCCCTGTGAACTGCTTGGGATGACTCCCCTATCACAAAAAAAAAAAAAAGAAAAAAAGAAACCCAATCTGTACTGTTTTATTTCCTTTGTTTATTCATGTTCCAAAAATTAAAATAAATTAAGTTTCAGAAACCACCGACCTACAATTTAGTGCAGTAAAAAATTGCTTTTCTGTTACATGTAGAACTTATTCCTGCTCATTACAGTAAAAATCTGCCATGCTCAGTTTTTTTTAAATCTTGTTTTCTTGAAATTCAGAGACTAGGATCACTCTGCTGTTTTTCATATTTGAGTTTTATTTTATTTTATTTATTTATTTATTTATTTTCAGATTAATATACCATTGTCATCCTGGGTTGAAGAGGTGCCTCTGAACTATGATGTATTCCCCGACAAGGATATTGACAGAGAAGCTCTTGAACAAATACATTTATATAAGATTCTATAGAATGAAAATTATCCTACCTCAGTGTGATTGTTTTGAGTGTGTTACAAATAACAAAAAAGAAACATAATCCTAATACCTTAATGTATTTTTTCTGTATATTCCTATACAGTTTTTGTAAAATGCTCACATTTTGTAGTTATATGTTATGCATATATAGAATTTTGTTTGCTTTGTGTGACAATTTAATTAAAATCTTTATCTGAGAATTCTAATACCACCAAGAGTGATCCTTGAGAAGAAAACTATTGTAAGCCTCTGAGCACAACCATGATTTGTATCCCTAAAGAGAGAAATAGAGACAGAGAGAGAGAGAGAGAGAGAGAGAGAGAGAGACTGACTTTTCACCTTGAGAACAGAGCTGGGTAGCTGTGTGTGTGTCGTTAGACAGGAAGGGTTGGGGTGGTCACCTTGAGAACAAAACCAGGAGCTCAGAAACCAGAGTGTGTCAGTCAGTAAACACTGTATTCAATGACAGGATATAACCAAAGAGATCAGCAGTAGCTGCTTCTGTCACAAGAAGGGAGAATATTAAGTTACTCCATATCCCATTTAGGGATATGGGATAGAGCCTATCCCATATAGGCTCTACAGCCTATATGATTCCTTGTACATAGCTTTGTCAAAAGAGCCTAGCACAAGGACTGAAATAAAATGGTACAGTGGTACAGTTGCTAGAAAAAAAGCAAAACTAGAAAGCTCTAAAATAAAAATCAAGATTTTTCTCTCAGTGGAGCAATTACTGGTGATTTATTTTCAATATTTTCCTTTTTTTGGTTATAATGACCATATTTCTTTTGAAATCAGGAAAAACAAAATTGTAATATATGTGACCACATCCAGCAGTGCTTAGGGGCTATTCCCACATCCATGCCCAAGGGGTTGTTCCCAGTGATGCTCAGGAAACCATGTGGTGGGAATTGAAAAGTTTTTTAAACTAAGTTAAGATACATTTTGAAGTTGTAGACCCCCTTGGAGATGTCTTTTGAAAGGAATTTAATATACTTTTTGTCATCACATTACTTACGAAAAGAAATTTACAGAGTTCAGCATATGGTACAGTGGTAGACCATATGCCTTGCATGTGTGAGGTCCCAAGTTCAAGCCCCAGTAACACAATAAATGAATAAATAAATATTTAAGTTTATAAAAGAGAATGTGGCAGTCGATGCTAATTTTTAAAAGAAAGTTATTGGTCAGTAGCTAAAGGGCTAACAATAAAGAAAAATATTTGGAGCATGCTGTTGATTCTAATGTTAGTATTTAGGGGCTGGCATTATATGTTTAATATCACTGTAAATTCTGGTATTCAAATAATTTCTTAAATTTTATTGTGTATCCCTGCTCACCCTTCAGATATTCTTCTCATGCCAGTCACCCGAAATGAAGATGAAACAGTTTTAGAAAGTCAGTATCAACTGCTGGCATCTCATAACAATTGATGGATAGTTCTAGAAAGTGGTACAGACTTTTAGAGATTTTTTTGGAAAGAATTACAGAGAAATTGTAAGATGCTTTGAAATAGTGTGTTATAGACCAGAGCTATAGTACATTGAGTAAGGTGATTGCCTTGCACAGGACCAGTTCCATCACTCATATCCTGTATGGTCTCCTAATCTCTGCCAGAGTGATCCCTGAATGCAGAGCCATAGTAAGCCCTGGGCACCACTAGGTATCACCTAAAAACCAAATATAATGGTAAAAAGATAATGTGTTATTCATGTGATTGTTTTGTGGGTGTTTTTTTTTGTCTTTCAAAATTGTTTTTTATTGAAATTCTATGGCTTACAATATTGCTAATAATGGTTTCTATGGTACACAGTTCCAGCACCACATCCATCAGCAGTGTACCCACCCCCTCTTCCAAGGATCCTATGCCCCCTTCCTTATACCCCTCCACCCAAATCAATTGTGTGGATCAGTTCTCCTTTTATGTCGCCATTGAACCTTCATTGCTACCTTTCTGTGTATCTTTAAGTCCCACATATGAGAGAAATTATTCTGCATCTGTTCCTTTTTTACTGACTGACTTCACTCAGCATATCCTCCAGTTCCATTCATGTTGCCGCAAGTTGCATGATTTCATTCATTCATTCATTCATTCATTTTTTACAGTCTTTTTTTTAAATTGAGTCACTGTGAGATAGTTATAAAGCTTTCATGATTGAGTTTCAGTCGTACAGTGATTGAACACCCATCCCTCCACCAGTGTACATTTTCCAACAACCAATGTCCCCAGTATCCCTCTTGCCACCCCCCACTCCACCCCACCCTCTGCCTCTGTGGCAGGCACCTTCTTTCTTTCTACTTTTGGGCATCATGGTTTGCAATACAGATTCCATCATGTTTGGTCCTTAGTCTACTTTCAGGCACATCTCCCATCCAAAGCGATCCCTCCAACCATCATTGACTTGGTCCTTTCATCCCAACTGCCTTCTCTCCCAGAACATGAGGCAGGGTTCCAAGCATGTGATTGTTTTAAATATATATATATAATTATTGCTTTATTATATTTATTATATTGAGACAGCAAATAATACTAACAATGGCAAATACAATATTTGTCTAAAGACAAGACATGCAAATAATTATGCATGGGGAGAAAAATGAGTTCATTTGCAAGATTGAGCATAATTACAAGTTGACATTCAATTTTGTTTCATGCTGTGTCCCTTCAATAAACTATTTTATGAAATTGGAATCCTAGTGGCTTTAATGTTTATTTGATTGCCCCTCAGAAACATGAATGTCTAAAACAAAATCTGGGGCCAGAGAGATAGTACAGTGGGTAGGGCACTTGCCTTGCTCTCAGCCAACCCGGGTTCAATCCCCAGTACCAAATATAGTGTCCCAAGCAATGCCATTTCAGGGTATGGCCCAAAAATCAGTAAAGCAAAATCTACTGTTAATGGAACTGGATAAATGCCAGAAGTCTCAAAATGCCCTGGGCAGGATGGATGGGAAAAACACTGACAATACTCTGAACTATCAAAAAGAGGTCTATTCGTAAACCTAATTTCAAATTGTTCAGCCCCTGTAAAGTCAAAATAGTATTTAGACCAGGTAGATGGCTCAAAGGACTGATGCACTTGCTGTGTGTTTAATACTGCATGGTCCCCAAGCATTGCCTAGAACAGCCAACAAGCACCAAGTCCAAACTGCTCCCCTCCTCCCCCGCCAAGAAAAAATGTTTAACTGAGGATATAATAAGATATAGATTGTAGATAATTTCTGTTGATATGCTACTGGAGTTGGAGAAAAATTAACAAATCCCATTGTCAATTTTTCTGTATTAATATGTATAGATGTATTTTAGATGTATTAACAAACATTTTGGTGAGTAGCGAAGATGCAAATATATACATATATGTGTGTATATATAAGTATATGTGCATATGTGTGGGTGTATATATATATATGACACTTTTAAAAATATATGGTTGGCCCTGTGCTGGAAGACAATATTCAACTATTATGACTGTAGTCACATGAAAGTGCCTTAAGCTTTATATCTGGTACTTATGAGATATTCTTAAACTAGTTATCCATGTAGGAATATATATGTGAAACTATTTGGCCTACTTTTGAAATATCTATGTATTTCCCTGGATATATATACTACCATGTAGAAAGTTAGATTCATACTTTAGAAGAATTTGAATGTTATAAATTTTAGTCTTATTGCTGTTTGTCACTTCAGAGTATCAGCTTCCCTCTCTGCCCTCTAATGTTCATGCACTGTCACTCAGAAGCCTTAGGAAAGGAGGGTAGATGAATTAAGATATTTTCATACTTCAGCAACCAAGTGAAAAATACAGGGTCCAGAGACATAGTACAGCAGGTAAGGCACTTGCCTTGTGATTCCTGAGTGCAGAGCCAGGAGTTACTCCTGAGCACCACTGGGTGTGGCCCAAAAGAAAAAAAAACGCATAATAAAACATTTTTTAACTAAATGTATTTAAGAAACATGGAAGATTCCACTTTTTCTTACTTTTCTCTTTACCTCATAAAATATATGATCAATTTGATGAAACAAATTGATAATAAAAAAAAGTTGATTAATTAGAACTTTTTTGAGCTGGGCCACACCCAGCAGTGCTCAGGGCTTACTCCTGGCTCTGCTCAGGAGTCATTTCTGCCATTGGCTGTGGATATCATACATGGTGCTGACGATTCAAACCACCGTTAGCAGAATACAAGGCAAGCACCTTAATTCTGCTTAATTTGTAAGTACTCTGTTCTATCTCTTCAGCCCTCTGCCAAAAAAATTTTTAAACTCTTTAAAAATTAATTTTTTAAGTTACTAAACTTCATAGAACTTTTGTAAGTTTTGTCACTTTACTCCCTAATCCAATTCCCAGTTCCCTCCAATGCATAGCCCTGGATGTCTAAATCCCATTACCAAAAGTAGAACATTCCTGAGTTTCGTGAGCACAGCACAAGTAGACATGATGAGGTATTTTCCTCTTGTTGATGAATTTAAATTTTGGAGCGATAGCACAGAGGTAGGGCGTTTGCCTTGCACGCAGCCAACATGGCCAACCCGAGTTCGATTCCTTCGCCCCTCTCGGAGAGCCCAGCAAGCTACCGAGAGTATCTCGCCCGCACGGCAGAGCCTGGCAAGCCACCCGTGACGTATTCGATATGCCAAACACAGTAACAACAAAATCTCCAATGGAGACGTTACTGGGCCCGCTCGAGCAAATCGATGAACAACGGGAGAACAGTGACAGTGACAGTGAAGTTGTTAAGTGTACTTAACATACAAACATGTTAGACTTCTGTTTACCTAGCACTCTACCAGCCTCATCATATACAAAAAAGGAACACTCACCATCACCCTGAAGAAACTCAGGAGATTGAGGCACACAGAGTAAGGAAAGGGAACAAGGTAAAGAGAAAAGAGCAAGTAATGCACAAGCATGGAGACTAATAGGTGTTTTACAGTGACTAGAGTTCACAGTAGGATTAAATAGTACTGTCCTCCTGTTGTTCATCGATTTGCTCAAGCGGGCCCCTAACAACTCCATTTTGAGACTTGTTGTTACTGTGTTTGGCATATTGAATACATCACGAGTAGCTTGCCAGGCTTTGCCATGCAGGCGAGATACTCTCGGTAGCTTGCCGGGCTCTCGGAGAGGGGCGGAGGAATCGAACCCGGCTCGGCAGGGCTGGCTGCGCACAAGGCAAATGCCCTACTGCTGTGCTA